TCAGGGCGCTGTATCAGGAGCTTGAAGACCTGCGAGACAACTATCCCAAAGCCCTCATACACCGAGTCCTCATCTTCGACTATGTCTCGCCGTCGACGGAAGTGCCCATACCCGAGGGCATGGCGGCGATCCCCCCGTTGGAAGATTCGAAGAGAACTACAATGAAGACGGTCATGTGCGACGTATCGTCCTTGCTGCTGGCTGAGATGACAACGCTAGGGAAATCCTATGAGGCCATGACGGCGATTGAGTCCCCGGGAGGATATTCGCTGGCTAGACAGCTGAGCACCACGTCATGGGGCCCAGATGCTACTTCGCCGACAAGTTTTACCAGCAATTTTACTAGGAGAAACTCCCAGTTTGCTTTTCCGCCAAATCTACAGCGATCCAGCTCTGCTTCGGGGTTGATGAGCGACCGGTCAGGCGCGCGACTGTCCCTGCCTCCTGTCCCGACACAGCGCCCCGGATCAAGTGTTTCAACACCAGGCCGCCCGTCTACGCCCCTCAAGAGCAATTTATCCAGCCCTCCCCTGAGCGCGGATGAGCTTCCGAGCCCTTCCTCAAGTCAGAGACCGGAATCTCCTGACACACAGAGCAGGTCTGATCTCACCGAAGACACGAGTCACGACCGTGTTTCCGTGCAGGGATTCGGGCCTGGGTCAGCAAATGACCGCTGGAGGCTTAAAGGAAAAGGCAGATCTTCCATTGTTATAGGCTCAATGTACCTACAGGCAGGTCGCTGGAGTGATTCTTTGAAGGAGTTGAGTGAAGGAGCCGCTGCTGCCAAGTCATTGAACGATCACGTCTGGCACGGGAAGGCATTGGAGCTGATTCTGATGAATCTGCTACTTCTCGGCTGGTCTGGCCTAACTTTCCAAATCCCGACAGTGTGTCAGCCTCCTCATGATAAACACTCGTCTCTTAAACCGGAGCCAGAAGAAAAGGACGGTGATCCACCTAGACACGTCCGATATCTTCAGAGCCTTCTCCCCGAGCTTCTGGAACGGATTGTGGGTCTTTATTCGAAAACATCAACGGAAAATATTCCTCCTCTACCGTTGGCGGAAACTACTATAAGATTCAGTAAAATAATGTTGGCCCTTCATGTTTGCGAGGGTAAGCTTACTCAAGCGGCGTTTGATATGATTGTGCTGGGTAAAGGCACGGGGAAAGAACTCACAACATCACCAAGGCTGCTGATAACACCGACAAGACAGCAGATTTTGACTCTCTTATTCCAAGCATTCCCTTCTACAGCCACGGAATTGCTTACTACCATTGATCGAATTTCGATCTTGAGCGGCATAGCAGCTGTGCTGGGGCCCCTGGGATACCATCGAAAGAAGGCAATGGTTACTCGCGAATTGGTTTCAGTTCTCATTGGAGGACTTGTCGAAGCACGAACGCGCGGGGCTGCTGATGCTGGAGTTCATCCCGCTGCAGGTCTCGTGGCTGTGACAGCTTCTAACCCGCAGGGCACTACTGGAGCAATGGCCTTGGATTTGGCTGAAGGAGATATCGAGCAAGGCATAGAAGCCTTTCTCGAGCTCCTTTGCAAATCTTACGGGGTTATTGGATTCGATAGAGCGAAGCCCCGGCGGCAGTCGCTTCGGGAAGGCTTTGACGACTCTGACGATGCTGTGATTGCGAGAATTCGAGGCCAGATGAAGATGCGGTTCTTCGGCTTCCCAGATATCAAACTCAATATTCTCCGAGCCTGCATCAACTTCTCAGAAGCTCTGCCGGACTTTAACGGAGTTCTCAAGTTTTCTAGCGACCTGATGCGCACTGCTGGATCGGGTGTCGCTCCGGGCCCTCGTCGTGAAGATGCTTCTCCAAAGATCTACAGAGATGAGCAGGTCCGTTTGATAAGCAATATTTCACGAACGTCCAACCTTGTCAAGAGATTGGGCATGTCGCAATTAACGGCCGAATTCTGGGATGAGTTTCTCGTTCGAGACATCAAGCTGGAGCCGCTCCCAAGTACCCGGATTCCTATTCCCCACGCTCGCAGCATTTTGCCGGGCGCGACAACAACCCGAGCATCTCAGGATGCTAACCCCTTCATCTACAATCCATTCCTACAGGAACCGGACGATGCAGCTGCCGCGAATCTGGTTGCTAACGAGCCTGCGAAATTTAAAGTGACGATCCAAAACGTATATGATGTTGAGTTGGATATTGAGAGTATAAAGCTAGAGACGGAGGGCGTCGATTTCGAAGCCATGACTGATAGCGTCATCATCGGTCCTTATCGAACACAGGCTGTCCGGCTGCAAGGTCTAGCAAAGGAATCAGGGTCTATCAAAGTGACGGGGGCAATTATTAAAGTAAGGGGCTGCAGAGAGAGAAGATTCGCCGTCTTCCCCAAGCACTGGAAACCGTACCAAGAAGACAAAATCAAGGTCAAGGGCATCGCATCGGTTTCCGTTCCTCTAATGTCAGGCAAATATCACGACATGCCAATAGAGCCTGCTACCCTTGACCTCAACGTCACCGAGCCTCAGCCCCTCGTGACGGTCAAGTCGACGACTCTTCCACAATCTTCGGTTATGATTCTAGAGGGTGAGAGGCAGATATTCTCCGTCACATTGCAAAACCAATCTACGACACCCGTCGACTTTATGCTCTTTTCTTTCAAGGACTCAACGCAGGAGCCTCTGCAAGCAGCTCTTGCCAATCGCGAAGCTACGCCAGCAGAGATTTATGAATACGAACTGATACTTATCAAGAAGCAAGCTCTACGGCTTCCAAAGGCCAACCAAGACCGCAACATTGCTCCAGGAGGCGAAGCAACATTCGAGTTTGAGATTCTTGGCAAGCCAGGGCTGACGCATGCAACAATCCAAATCGATTATACCTACCTCGGAGCTCCTCGAGACGAGATAACAGAGCAGTTCTACACACGGCAGCTATCTTTGCCTTTGACGGTTACAGTCAATGCAAGTGTTGAGATGGCAAGAATTGATGTGATTCCCATGCACGGCCTGATCCCGCAGCCTCTGTGGGAGCGTTTGGGAGGTACCAAGCCCGTAAAGCCCGACGAATACTGCCTGCTGTCCGTTGACTTGCGAAATGCCTGGCCTAGTCAGATGGCAGTTCATATTGAAAACGAAGATGGCATGGCTGTTGAAGAGGGCATCCTCCCCGGCAAGACGAGTCGAATTATAATACCCGTCAGGCGGGTGTACCTTGAGGATCCCCATGCTTCAATCCCCAGCCTCAATCCGTCGAAGAATAGGCAATTTGTAGTTAGCATGAGCAAAATCTCTCCTGAGATGGAGCGGGCCAACCGCGAGGCTTTCTGGTACAGGGAGAAGATTCTCGACAGTTTGAAGGCGACGTGGAGGACAACAGCGGTTCCTAGGCGAAACGGGGTTGCTGAACTTCGAAACATTCGTCTTACTACCCGCATGATTGACATCATCAAGGTCGGCGAGATTGGCATAGATGTATCTGTGGAGCGTCCGAATGATAGCGGGACAAGCATCGACGTCGCATATGTGGATGAGTTCCTTCAAGTGCGAGTACGAATCAGCAATAGAACAAGCCGTCCAATTCGCTCGCTGGTCAGGTTACTACCGGCGCTCTGTCACCGTTCTGTCAATATCGCGCTTGATTATACACGAAAATTTGTATGGAACGGCACACTGCAGCAGCTTCTGCCAGAACTCTCAGCCGGTGGCAGCACGGAATTTGTGCTCGGTGTGACGGCGCTTTGTAGAGGAGAGTTTGAGCTCACGGCATCAGTCGAGGAGATTCAGATCTGGGATGAAGTCGACGAGAAGAAAGCGGAGGGAGAGCAAGGCCAGGGGCGGCCGCGGTCGGATACCCAGACGATGGTGAATACGGTTCTTGGGATGAAGGAGCGGAGGATGTGGCATTCGCGACAGCCGTGTATATTGACGGTGAGAGATTCGGATTGAGTTACGAAGTATAGCTAGAGCCTTTTAATACCGAGATGTCTTTATGGCCTGTATGACTGTATGATGATGGCGATGGCGATGAATGGCGCTGCAGCATGTATGCGTGTACATATGATGCAGCAGCGATTGAAACAAGTCTGAATCTCATTTTTGGAAGTTGTTCCGAACGAATCAATTGGTACAGTGTAGTAGTAGCACGTCTTGTGGTTCTCGAAGGGGGTAAAATGCCAACATTTTGTAGAGTATTGCTATCTGGGTCACATATCATTGCTATCCGCGTAAGAGATTCCAGGCTGATAGCTCTAGGTACTTATTTCAGCTTTCAGTGTATATTGTTTAGTATTTCAATAAGTGTAACGAAATGCATTAGCTAATTTCTGAGCGCCTTAGGAATAGTAAGTCACAGCTTGATCTCAAGTCTGCGAGGGAGCCAACAAAAACTACTATGGCTGCTGTAGAGAGAAGCTATAAGCGGACAACTTTTGCTTTATGCGTAGCGCTGAGCTGTCGTCGCTTCAGTAGGGCGTTGAATATTATTAAGATCAACTAAAAATAAGTCTTTTATTATTACATTCGAAAGTCAGTTCTATAAAGTCCTCAACCCGCGAAACTAAGATGCAAAGGCTATAGGATGAGTTGTTTGTCTCGACGCTACTCTGTGGTAATAAACGCCACATTGAGCTCAGGCCATTAGATGAGCAACCAACTTGGCATGATTAGGCATAGCATTCGCTTAGTTGCTCGAGTTGATTGGACCAAGAACTTATTTCTTTTCATTCTTTTCCTCCTTTGCCCCTGTCGTTAGCGCCTCCCATCGATCTGGAAACGCAAACAAGGCTGCACATGCTAGACAGGCCCGGGTGACTCCGTCGGCGCGATATCCGAGAAGAAAAAAATTTAGCGATCCGGCTTTTCGCGGCCTTTCCGTTTTTTGACTTTTCTCATTCTCTCTCATTTTCTTCTTTTCATACTGTACTTTCAATTCATATTTTCCATTTACCAATTCTTTTCATTTCATGAGGTGGTGACATATACACACAGCTGGAGACGGGCATATTCGAAAGGCAGTCAGTCATGCCTCTCCTCCAGTCTCAGCCGGGCTCCAGCCCGCCAGCTGTGGCAAACCCACGATGCCGCCGGATCCTCTTCCTGGACGCCTACGACTCCTTCACCAACAACATCGTGTCGCTGCTCAAGGAGGCGCTGGGCGACGAGGTGCTGGTGCACGTGCTGCACATGGACCTCAAGACGCTGCACGCGGATCCCAGCCCGGACTGGACGCCCGACGAGTTCCTGGCCCGGCTGCCGAGCTTCGACGCCGTCGTGTGCGGGCCCGGCCCGGGATCGCCGCTGTGCGAGGCGGACGTCGGCGCCTTTCGGTTGCTGTGGGAGCTGCCCCGGGACAAAGCCGTCCCGGTGCTGGGTATCTGTCTCGGGTTCCAGAGCCTGGTTGCGCAGTTTGGCGGAGGCATCAGGAAGTTGAGGAGGGGATTGCACGGGATGGTGAGGCGAATTGAGCATCGGGACGGGGACATCTTTGCGAATGTGCCTGAGTTTAGGGCGACGCTGTATCACAGCTTGTGTGCGGACGTGGGACAGGATGATGTTGCGCGGGAGAGGTGGGAGACGGACATGTGGCTGTCGCCGAGGGGGGCGCCGGATCTTGTTCCCCTTGCGTGGACGATGGAAGACTATGAGGATGGAGGTGCTGAGCCGGAGAGGATCTTGATGGGGGTCAGACATGCGAAGCTGCCCTTTTGGGGAGTCCAGTACCATCCCGAGTCCATCTGTACGGATCCTGCGGCGCACGGGGTGCTGAAAAACTGGTTCAGTCAGGCGCTCAAATGGAATGAATCAACGGGAAGGGAGATCTTGCCGGTGGCTTCGCAAAGCATTGCCGACAGCTTTGCTCCGTCCATGATTGTTGAGCGCAGCATTGCTTCTCACACCCGAGTCGCCGCTCAGAAATGGTGGAGGGACATGCAATCCGGCCTGGCTGCGTCGAGAACAGCTCCTGTCTACTCTTGCCGCCGCATTACACTCCCAGACGGCGTCGATGCCGCTGACGTTGCGGAATTCCTGGGCGTGGGAGGTGCTGACTCCATCATGTTGGATTCATCGAGCACCATCAGCGGCGATCCCCTGGCTCGCAGCTCAATCATCGCGCTGGAAGTGGAAAAGGCTCTCCGGTTCGAATATCATGTTGGGGATAGCTGGGTGACGCTACGCCAGCCCGGGACAAGAGATCAGGACGAGGTGTGCCAGAGAATAGAAATCGACAGTAGTGATGAGCACGGCGCCTACGACGTCTGGAACGTTATTTCTGAGTTTTGGCAGCAGCGCAAAATAGCCGAAGAGGGTGGTCGAGAGACGGAGCCAGCTTTCAAGGGCGGCTTCATGGGCTTCGTCACGTACGAAATGGGACTGAGTTCGCTAAGCCCCGAATCCATCTCCAAGAACAGAGGCCATCGCAGGCCAGATCTCTGCTTTGCCTGGATTTCCAAGAGTCTGATTCTTGATCACCAGGCTGGCGTGGCTTATGTTCAAGCTCTTACACCAACTCCCGCTAAGTCATGGATCGACGATGTGGTGGCTAAGCTGCAGGCTTCTCGCGCGTGGCAGCAGCCAGGATACGGATCAGAGGAGTACAATTCGATTGCGGCAAAGAGACAGCCCAACGAGGCATTGCTGAAGAGCATCCAAGAGCCCACGGGCAGATTGCGCTTCAACACCTCCAAGCCAGCTAGATATGACGACGACGTCCGCCGGTGTCAAGAAGCCATTGCCGAGGGCCAGTCCTACGAACTTTGTCTTACGGCGCAAACGACCATGATTCGCCCCCGTGGAAATGATGTGCCGCATCATCTACAACAGCCAGCGTCAACCAACGGCAGCACTAACAATGGCACATCTTCATCTTCATCTGATGAAGAATCCAGACACGGCACCCCCTGGCAAATCTACCGCACCCTCCGAGCCCGCCAACCAGCCCCCTTTGGCTCCTTCATCCGCCTTGCCGGCGCCACCATCCTCAGCAGCTCTCCAGAGCGTTTCCTCGCCCACGACGCACAAGGCCTCTGCTCCATGAGGCCTATGAAGGGTACAGTTCGCAAGTCCGAGGCCGTATCCACGCTGGCACAGGCCGAGAAGCTGCTACACATCCCGAAAGAAGAGGCCGAGAATCTCATGATTGTGGACTTGGTCCGGCACGACCTCTACGGCGTGTGCGGTGCCCGTCGCGTTACGGTGCCGGATCTTCTCAAGGTGGAAGAGTACTCAAGCGTCTTTCAAATGATTACCGTCGTCAACGGCCAGCTGCCCTCTCATAATAACAAGAATAGCAGCAGCAGGAAATCGGCTCCCAACGGCCTCGACGTCCTCGCTGCCGCCCTCCCTCCCGGCAGCATGACCGGTGCGCCCAAAAAGCGCAGCTGCGAGATCCTCCACACCATCGAGCCCACCGAGCGAAGCATCTACTCGGGCGTGGTTGGATTCCTCGACGCCCGCGGCCAGGGCGACTGGAGCGTCACCATCAGGACAATGTTCCGCTGGGACGATGAACGAGCGCCGCCTGTAGAGGGAGAAGGAGAAAATACGCAGCCGAGGGAGGTCTGGCGGATTGGAGCCGGTGGTGCGGTTACGATTCTGAGCACGCCGGAGGGAGAGACGGAGGAGATGTTTACGAAGCTTTGCGGCCCGCTGGGCGTTTTTAAAGATGTGGCATAAGGAATTATTGTGTGCCTTTTTCTCTCTTCTCTTTTTCTTCCTTTATTTGGGGTTTGGTTTATGGTGAGTAACAATGGAATCTTGGGACTAAAGAACGGAAGATGATATATACTTCAACGTATGCATAGCAGGTGTTATTGGGCATGGTTCAACATGATATACTAGATAGATGCGATGACGCACGAGCGAATCTTCACTTTTAAACATAAAGAAAAATATCTCTCAATAGACAGATTAAATTGAAATGGTTTTTTATTTTCAAGTAGTCCCAAGAATCCAAGACACGAGTGATTAAAAAGTAGAGTCGCAAGCAATAACTTCGAAGATCGCTTATGCTTCGTATCGAAATCCCCTCAAAAGAAGCTTGGTACACAAGATGAAAAAAAGAAGTGTCATAAAGTCGACAGCGCCATCTTAATCTGGGTAATCTGTAACATTCTTTCGTTTTCTTATTCTTCGTGCACGCATTAAATAACAGACCGGTTTGTTCTCGCTACCCTCGGGCCCTTCGGTTTCCAGTAGATTTTCCCCAGCTCTTTCCTTTAAAACTCCTGCTCTTCTTGGAAAAACATGCCGAAGCTGATAATGGTTCCGTAAATCAACAGGCCGCCGGTGATGGACATGATCATGGCTTCGACTCGGATGAGATCAGAGTGCGCGAGGACAGCGGGAAGGGCTGCGCGAGAAAGGCATAGCATGTTAGTTCAAGATTCATATAACGGGCCTTTAACAGGCGTAGGACGATGAGACTTATAACGTACCAATACCCATAACAACAAAGAAACCGGTGAAGAATCTTCCCACGTCAAGTATGGCAGCGCCGCCGCTCTCGACAAAGTCGTCCGGATTCGCGCATCGGCCGCAGATCCAGTTCGGCAGCGGTGCGAGGACGTACGTGGCGACAACCAGCAGCGGGTAGTAGACCTTGTAGAGAGCGCAGGACAAGATGACAAGGAGGAATCCCACGGCGAGGACAAAGGAGAGGGCGATGATGGTCTTGAGGCCGGCGGCAGGCATGATGACGTTGTGTATGTCGGATCTAGTTTATGGGGGGATCGAAGTCGTCGTAATGCGACGGGAGATTGGTTTCGGAATTCGACGGACGGCAGGCCCCGCGGAGGGGAGGTTGAAGAGCCTATGGAGCCGTAGAAAATTGGCAAAGAAGAGACGAGGAGAAAAAGTACGCAGAAGACCGAAGCGCGGGCTGTCGTCGAGAAGATCGTGAGTTGGATGCGATGATTGGTGTTGAGGCGATGATGGAGAACGGGCGGCTGGTGCAGTGAGTGACGCAGGTCAGCCGCTATCTCGCCGGAGCGCACATTGTTCCGGAACCGGGATGCAGGGGTCTCAACTGGGAAGGCGGTCAGAAGCTCTGCTGGGCGCTTTGAAAAAAAATTATGGGAACCTGGAGACGATCCGCCCCGCTAGGGAACTTTTTTTTTCTGGCACGTCTTTTCCATATCAGACATTGGATTTTTCCTTTTTTCCTTCGTCCCTTCACTCTTTTATTCATATAATTGGATACGAAGTTCTCTTGCGGGGAGAATCAAGTCGACAATATGGCTTCAGACGAGATTGTGTGGCAGATTATAAACCAGCAGTTTTGCGCCTTCAAATTAAAGTGAGTTTGGCCACCTGCTGAATTCCCTGATAACACGCCTTTACACCATTGGCTTTTCTATCTACATTACTGTTTTGTAGCAATTGAGCAAATCAATGCTAACCTCATCCCCCAGAACGGAGAAGCAGCAAAACTTCTGCCGCAATGAACACAACGTCACTGGACTGTGCAATCGCCAGTCATGCCCTCTAGCCAACTCGCGATATGCCACCATTCGGCAACATCCGACCAAGGATACGCTATATCTCTACATGAAGACTGTCGAGCGCGCGCATCTGCCTTCCAAGATGTGGGAGCGCATCAAGTTGTCCAACAACTACACAAAGGCCCTGGAGCAGATTGACGAGAGGCTCATTTACTGGCCCAAATTCCTAATCCACAAATGCAAGCAGCGACTCACCCGCCTGACGCAGGTGCAGATTCGCATGCGCAGAATCGCCGCCGAGGATGAGCGACTGGGAGAGAAGCTGGTTCCCAAGCTGGCCCCCAAGGTCAGGCACCGTGAGGCGACGAGAGAACGCAAGGCCGAGGCCGCGGCCAAGCTGGAGAGGACCATCGAGAGAGAGCTGCTTGAGCGTCTGAGACAGGGCGCTTACGGCGACCAGCCCTTGAACGTCAGCGAGGACATCTGGAAGAAGGTGCTGAACGCCATGGAGAAGGGAGGCGAGGGTGAGCGAGACGAGGATATGGACAAGGGCATCGAATCCGACGAGGAATTCGACGGCATTGCTGAAAGCGGAGACGAGGACGCCGATGCTGCTGTTGAATACGTCTCCGGCGCTGAGGAGAGCGAAGACGAGCTCGAGGACCTCGAAGACTGGCTGGAGAGTGAGGAAGAGGAGGAAGAGGAGGACAGCGACGAATCCGAGGCCGAAAAGGCCGGCAGCAAGCGCAAGCGTGGCAAGGTCACCAAGATGAAGAACAAGCGACCGAAGCAGCAGGAGAAGGAGAAGCTGGCCTTGACCAACGACCTGGCCTGGTAAATGGGCTGTCGATATGGGTGGAATTTGCGATTAATACTCGGGCATCATTGCGGATGCGAAGCGAATTGTGCGGCGGCCAAACCAAGAGCACGGCAGCGTTTACTGAGTCGTCTTTTAAATGGGTTTTCAAGTTTGTATCAGCTTCTTAGTCCTACTAGAGCGGGCTTCATGGCATACGGCGTCGGGATGGAGAAAAAATCAAGGCTTATGGTCATTACTGTTGTACGGATGGGGGGTTATGTTAATTGAAATAACTATACATATACTTAGATGGATCTAAAATGCATTGCCTTCGAATCATGTCTCACCGAAGCGGCTGAAGGTGGTTTCAGAAGTGTTCGAAGGGCAGAAAACGCAGAGCGCAGAGCCAATGCACGCATCCGCACCCTGTCTTAGCAGCGACCCCACCGCCTAAACCAGCACGGAGTTTAGTGCGCTCCAGCCCGCTAGGAGAGGCATCAACGCCGCCTGAAAACGAATAGAGTTACAGGCCCAGAGGAGAACCAAGTGATGCTCCGTCCAGGCAATTCAATCTTCAACCCCACGTCACTAGCCGCCAACCTCCTTTCCCTCCTCACCAACATTCAGCCTCGGCGCCCATTACTTGCTGCTTGCTTGAAATCAGACAAACGGCACTCCACCAGCTTTCTCTCTTTCTCTCAGATAACAATACGAGCTCCCACATCCAGAGCTACATCCACTTTCTCACCGCCGCAAACGAGCGACACGAACAACGATCTGCGGACAAAAAAGCATCACCGCCAGATGGCCGGAGCTTAAGCCTCTTTGTCCAAGCCACAACCAAGTCATCACACGATAAACGAGAGAAAAATTATAAACGACCGAGAACCCGTCAGCTTCGTTTCAATTCCAGCACAGCTTTCTCAGCACACCAACTAGAAAAGATATACTTGGAAAAGAGCACCGGCAGCTAAGAGGATCCCTGAGCTACTTACAACTATACACAACCTCCCGGAAACCACCACGCGAGCTTTTGGATGCCCCATTCGCCATGAGTTCCTGGTACTCCAACCTCGTCACAAAGACATCCTCCCAAATCTCCAACCTCCGCTCCACCCTCCTCTCCAGCGAGGCCGATGGCGACACCGAAGACGACACCCACGTCTGCCGCGTCCTGCGCAACTACTACACCGAAAAGGGCCGCTCCTTTCCCAACTGGCTGCCCCCGGATCCCAGGGCTCCGCCTCCGCAGATGACGCAGGCCGTCTACGCCCAGCCGCAGGTCGGGTCGCGGTACGGCGGGCTCGGTGGATCGCAGCAGGCCGGCGGCAGTGGAGGAGGGGGGCTCAGTAGCCTCTGGGACAACGGCCCTGCGCAGCAGCAGCAGCAGCCGCAGGTGCCGCAGAGCTTGCGGGCGGGCAGACCGGCGACGACACAGCCCGGGGGGTCCTCGAGGGAAGAGATTCTCAGATCGCAGGCGCCTCGTTCGGGGAGCTACTCTGGCCCTGGCGGTCCGGCTCCCGCTGCTGGCTCAGCGCAGGATCGCCTGAAGCAACGACTTTGGGGGACACGCACCACGAGCCCATCTTCCCAGGGTAGTGGACCATTCCAACCACCACCGAATGGAGGTTCAGCAGGCGGTGGTGGTGGTGGCCATCAGTCTCAGGGCAGCTACGAGGACAGATTCGCACCGGGAGGATCCTACGATAATGCTCGAGGGGGAGGAGGTGGCGGCAGTGGCGGTGGCGGCGCCTATCAGCCTTTTGTAGGCTCAAATGCCCCCTGGTCTAGCGATGGCTATTCAGGAGGAGGAGGAGGTGGTGGAGGAGGAGCTGCCAATGGCGTCCGGAGAAAAGGCCTGCCCAGCGGTCCAAGAGGGTACAGATGAAGAGAGAGAGAGAGAGAGAGAAAGATGGACGTGTCTTGATTCTGTTTTCTCCTTTCTTCGTCTTGCATTCATATGATATAACGTGTATTGGTCTAGGTTACGTGATGTATATCTCTTTCTTGGTTTCCTTTTTCTTCTTCTTCTTGCATATGTAGCTAGCTAGTCAGTCAGTCATGCGGTGTGTTGGTAATTGTCGCTTCGAGCCGTAGCTGGCAGCATGTAATGCCTATTAATGTCCTATTAATTCTACTTTTGTTTTGAAGTTTGGAAGGTTACATGAATTGATTGTGTTTCAGTAGTCAAATTTTGTTATGTATGAATGGGTATGCTATAAGTTGAGAAACACGGCGTATAGGAAGGCCCTTAAGAAGTAGGATACATACTACCTCACATGTATTTGGATATTGTGGCAATTTGAGTTTTTTTCGTCTTCTTATAGAACCATTGCAATGTACACGACGGAAAAGACTAAGCTAACCGGTCACTAAACTAACATCATATCATGGCGCCTTACACCCGCGAGAGTTCGTTATATTCGTGTTTATGTGTAAAAAAAGACAAACATGTAACAGAAGAATAAAAAGGCGCGAGGCATATCCAATTACAAAAAAAAGGGCGAAAAGAGAACATCATAATAAACAAGGCTGTTTTCGTAAGAATAAGCGTTCATCTGCTCAAATCTCATTTCGAGCCAGATGACCCTTCAGCTTTCAAAGTTGCAGTCTTTGGCTTCTTCTCCAAAAGTTCCACTTTTCGGCTCAAAAGGTTTCTCAACTCGGGAGTAATGATACGCTCTGTCTTTGGCGAGCCGGCGTTGGATTTGCCTTTTGGAGCTGGCTTCCGCGCTGGGCTGGTGGCGGCGGCGCTCTGGCCTGGGCTCTCTGTCCTTGGCGCGGGAAAGTTGTGTTTCTTGTCAACTGCTTCGACTAATCGCTGGTATCGGCGGAAAAGAACTTCGGCGCGAATCAAAGTCGACTCGAGATCGATAGTGCCAGACAGTTCGTTTACTGAAGAATTTGTTAATGAGTTTCTGAAAATCAATAATGAAGGGGTTTCTTAGGACTTACCATATTTGAGCACTTCGTCAAAAGCTTTGAGATGAGTCATAATCACGTCTCTGTGCTTCTCCAAGATAGCCAGAGCAATGAAAAGATGAAAGTTAGCACTGTAGTAGTCTGTCCACAGGCACTCCCAAAGCTTGAGCACATCCAACCACTCAAACTCCCGCTTATACCATACAAGTATCATGCGGAAGAAGAAGAAGAAATTGGTGCTGTCGGTGCTTTCGAGGTGATCCCACAGCTTAGGGTCCATGAAGTGAACAAGCTGGTCCAAGGCCAACAGCTGGCCTCGCATGCCTGATTGATCAAGCAGAAAGTTGCGCTCCATGCGCTCCATGAACATTTGAAACGCCCAAAAGGCTACCGCATCATCTTGGATCACGGCATAGATTGGTGCCAAGAGATCCGACATGCCCTGAACATATCCCAATTCCTTGTTATACTCGTTATAGGTCAGAAGCATCTCCTTCATCTGCTCGAGGTGGACGTTTGTGCCAACCTCAGCAAATGGAGAGTTAGGATCGGGATGAGGAGTGTCCTCTCCCTGGAAGATGGGAACGTTTCGATCAGTCCGATGAACGTCCTTTTCTGTAGCGAAATTGTTAGTATACATCCATAGACTATATCAAAGGTGAAGAAAAGGTGAGTTTGCCATACCGATTCGCCCACGTTGTTCGCGCCACCATTCGCCTGTTTCTCCGTCTCCCCCTTCTCCTTCAAGTCGGTCCCACCAGGATTGTTTGAGCTTGTAATACTGGTCCCTCAAGGAAGCGATGGTGGCCTTTCTTTCATCCAGCGTGCTGTACCAGTCATATACGCCGAGCAGAAAGAGCCAGGCTTCTTTCCGAACCCCATCGTCGGGATCCAGCCCGGCATGGAAGATCTTTTCTTTGACTTCATCAACCGAGATGGACAGTCGTCCAGTCTCGGGGTCGAAGAATGCATCCCACTCCTCTATCGATATCGGCTGCTTTCTTTCTTCAATCCCCAGCGAATTTACGCCATCGAGGAGCTCGAATTCTCCGACATCGGTATCCTCAAGCTCCATCACATCTCGAACAGTCCATATTCTCTGTCTGTGATCGCGCTCACTCTGTTCCGCCATGCCCATCGCCCACCTGGCAAGATAGATCCTTGCGCTGTCGAATTCATCCTGGAGCGTTTGGACCTCTGGGTTTTTCAGCAGTCTCCGCACTTGAGGCGGCAGGCTAGGATTCTCTGCCAAGTCATGAGCTGCCCTCCTGGTCAATGTGGTGACTTTGCTGAATTTTTCCATAAGATTCCAACCAGTCTCCTTGACAAATTTCATAAAGGGATCCATCTGAGCATCTTTGGTTTTTGAGCTCTCGGCAGCGGCCTTCCCCTTGGCTTTTGTCGAAGCCATTCTAGCGCCAAAGCTTTCCAAGTCCTCCTTACTAGGCTCAATGAGATAAATATTGGGCTCTGCTCCTGATCTCTCAATTTTTATATATCTCCTCAGCCATCGCAGAACTTCGTCTGCACCCCAAAACATCTGGCCAGACTCTCCAAATGGATCGAAATTATCCCGTGCCAGCTTCTTCTTCTGAAGGATGGTGCTCTGGCACTCGTCATCGTGAAAGAAGAGAGCGGGAAAGCTATCCCCTCCTCGGGAGTTGATGATGACAGATCCGTACCACCAGCCGAGACTAGGAGGTCGGACTAATAGGGAGTATATCGCACTGACAGGAATAGCAAACGCATAGCCGCCAATGGAGCTACTTTGGGCGGTTACCGTGGGAGGCGGAGGGACAAGATACGACTGTCTGGGAGGTGAGTCGGCGTCGGAGAGGTCCACCTTGACATAGATGCTCGCTGAATCGCCAAGCGATGATTCTGGAACCCAGGCAAGCAGAAGGTCGGAAGATGCGATGTGGTCGGGGTCATCTGCAGATGATGACGTAGAAGGGCGATCACGCTTTGGGCCTTTCTGTTGCAACAGGGCAATATAGCCACAGATGTTGTCTTTTGCAGACGGCGTCGGGTGGACGTATACCTGCCAGTAACGCAAGTTAGCTTTGTCCTTTTCTATTTGCCCGTCTTCTTCTTCGATATAGGCCCTCCTCCGCTAGAAGCGAGTGGTGGCGTACCTTGCTCTTCGAGAACAGCAGCTTCACTCCTCGGCCGGACTCCAGGTGCGTGATGGTGTTGTAGCCGCCCTCTTCATCGTCGCTCATAGCATAGAAGCTCCCTGCCGGCGAGGTTGGCCGAGCTGAGCCGCTCTGGTCTGCTGGTGTCGAGCTCATGATGCGAGCGCTCTCCACCTACGAGGAAGCTCTATCGCTATCGTCGTTGACGTAACCGCTGGCTTTGCGACAAGACGCAGTGCTCGCCGTCCGCGAAGAAACAATAACAAGTTGAAGGTGAAATAAACAGGCGATACGGGAGGTATCTAAGAGTTAGAGGTTTGGCGCAGCATCGTCGAGTGACGCATCTCTAAGAAAAGTCGTTTTCAGAATTGAGTTGCATGTGAGCTGCCTGATAGTGGCTGAATGACGACTCTAGGACGCGGAAGCGCATGTGCCCCGCCACTGTAGGTCATTTCGCACAGCGGCTTGTGCCAGGGTACTGCTACCGACGGCTCGGGCATCTTTTGGCGGCGCGGGCGAGTAGCGGATACTGCTCGCTTTGCAGACTGCTGCGTCCCACAGCCTGGACTCTGCGCCACGGATCTAGCCGCTATTGTCTTCATTTAGACGATGCCTACGTACTGCCATACGCAACACCAGCGTGGTTAATATTGGGGGCGAGACTGGGTGTGTCATGTCTCGAATTTTTCTACTCCCGGTAGATCTGTGCACTTGTATTTATCTTACAATTGTCCAATTTTACGGCTCCGATCCGGGCCTGCAAACGGTAAATACGCTGGCCCGTATATCGCAAATAGCGCCTAAGGAATTGCCTAATAGAGCGACTACTAGAAGATAAGGACTAGAGGTCAGAAGCAGGTCTTAGCATGCGTATTGCTCCCAGTTTTGGTGGTTGTGTTGCGCGCCCTACTGACTACTAGTAGCTGCTTGTTGGCATAAAAAAAGAAACACAAGACATTTAACATTATAAATACTCCGTACATGCCATGTGCTACGTACATCCTTGGTGTGTATATCCGTATGCGTCCATCCAAGTCATCTTCTCTCCAGCAAGTCGTTACGATCATTTATCTCGAATTGTACATTCTCTCCCTTCGTTAACCATTATCTATCTTCATGTAGTCGATAGCTTTGGCACGTGTGCCTTGTGCCTGATGCCGTACGCCAAGATCCGTTTACCCGCTTTAACAAAAATCCGTCGATACGATTCCGTCGCGTTGCATGGGAAGTTCCAACGCCTTCTTTCCCAAACACTAAACCAGAAACGCCTCGATGCTGGCGAATGACCAACCAGGATCCAGAAACATCTCTCTTCAAGCAATTCAAGGGAGCCGAGCACTTGTCTTCAAACATTTCAAAAGAGCACCTCCTTTCAGGCCTCCTCCGAAAGGAGCACGGAATGATAGTCGGGCTCCACAGCAGTCTCTGGATCAGTGTAGTTGACGGGCTTGTGGATGCGAACAATCCACAAGAAATAGTCCTCGAGGGCACACAGATTCAACAAGAGCCCGTTTGCGCTCCATGCAACGCCACAGACAATTGCTCCAGCAACGGCGTCCAATATGAAGTGATTTGCAGTTGCCACGATGGCTGTGAAGATCAATGCTGGGTACGAGAGACCGAGAACAGTTATGGCGGCCCGCTTCCACGAATTGGGTCGAACTCCATTGATGGGGATAGTTGCGACTGTCAACCCAATAAGGAGCGAGTAGCCGAAATGCAGAGACGGCATGGCGGCTACATAGAAGAAGAGGTTAGATGACTGGCAGAGGATTGGTAGTAGAGGTGGTTGTTAATGCTCACCATATTGGTTACAGAATTTGTTCGTTGTCCAAACACTGCTCTCGCCAGCACTGCTATGGACAGTATCAACAAAACCAAAGCTCTTCGCCTCTGCAGCATCGGCCCCATTATAGGTTGGGTCGCTCAACAGTCGAGGGGGCATGCACGGCCACAGGGTGAACACAACAAAGGCAAGCAAGTTGCACATGGCCATTGTCCGGCGTCTAGCTTCGTATAAGGCAGGGCCAGCAGAGACAAAGTCGTTTCGAACTTTTCCAGTCATTGCTTGACGCTTTCGACTGGTAGTGAGATAAAACAGAGCCACCAAGAAGAAGATTGTGCCAGGAATATGGATAAAGGAATATATACGGTTGATCCAGTGCAGCAGAAATGGATGTCCCAAAAACCATTGCTGGAAAGACACTTCCCAAAAGACTCCGAGGCGTTGCTCCAGATGGATCACCTGGAGAGCATGCTTTCGAGCGACGTGGACAGTACCCTGGACAATGGTAATAGCGGTGAAAGCTCGACCTAGTTGGTATACCTGGAAGTAGACGACAGTATATTAGTCTCGGGAACAACAAATGTACACGACGCAGTTATTCTCGTCGAATCGAATCAGACCAGAGTCACTCGACCTACCCAATAGATGAGAGCCCAGTACCATGCTTCAATCAAGAACGGAAACTTTTGGAGAACTCGACTCAAAAATCGATCCTTGAAGACAAGTGTGTTGGGAGTTGTCACGATCCTCTTGTATCCAAAGAACTGGATCTTGCGCCGTCGCGACGTGAGGGACCAGACTGACTCGTCATCGGCAGAGAGAGTTGGCGAAGAGGAACCCGGGCTCCATGTTGGACTCCTAGGAGAGAAGCCATCTCTTGAACTTCGTTTTATTTCAACGTCATCTCGTCGTTTGTGGCCACCCCAGCCTTGCGTGCCCTCCCAAAAGCTGTACTCCTTGTTTCTGTTGAACCAGGCACCGCCAAACAGGAGCGTCACTACCACGAGCGGTTCCAAAAACGCGCCAACAGTCATCGTAATTTGAGCACAGATGTTGAAATTATTGTCGACTTGTGGTAAATACATTTAACAAGCGAACGAAGACCATCAACGACTTTATGAGGTCTAAAGAGGCGATTGAGACATAAAGAGCACCCGATGATGACAACCGGGACGAAAGGAAATGGATAGAAAGACGACGAGGCTATGGTGTGAGCAAGGCAAACAGAAAAGGGCTTTCTAAGCGGCCTGAAGGCGATATAGGAACGGGAACTTGTCAGACTATACTGAAATGCGGAGGACTACGGATACGGGGCCACGCGAGCACGCCCAGGTACTCGGACAACAAGACCTCAAAGGAGTATCCACGGCGGAAGGAACTCTTTGTCTACACACATCCGCAATGTTGTCATGCCAGTCTCTGCCGTACCTGGGGGTCTGGAACGGGGCACGGATTACCTCGCCATACATTCCTTTCAAGTACCTTCACTACCTCTCGCCAGGAGACAAAGCCTCGGCTGCATAACCTCAATGGGCCAAGCACGGAAGAAAGGCCATTACGAAGGCAACATGAGCAAGACTACCAGAGGCCGCCGAGTTTGATGCGGCGTCATGGATACTCGCGGAGGTCGGGCGCGGGTGTGGAGGGTTTGGCCACCACCCCCCCTACCCGTTCAAATCTTGGCGACCGGCACAAGGTTCCGATGGTATTTCTGTCTCTGATTGTGTATTCATGTTGTCAGCAAACGGAATTTTTTTCTTCCTTTTTCTTCCCTTCTGAATATACGGATTTTCTAATGACTTGTGGAAAAGGACTTCTTACTGATAGATCCGTTACCAGGCGACCGCCTCAACAAGCATGGCAGACAAGATAGCAGAAACTCAGCGCACAAGGAACTCATGGGCTTTAGCGCCCACCCCAAACCTAGATTGGAAAAACCTTTTCTAATCTTTTTCCAGCAAACATCCAAGGTCCATAGTATAGAGTGATGGGCGGGCGGCGCATACGAGCCCTGCATCTACACGAAGTGCCAAGCATGAAATCTGGGACTAGGTACGGTACCCAAAGCATCAGTAGCTGTTACCAAATGTATAATCATCTTGGTTCTTGGCAATGGCCAGGCCCCGTCAATGTCTGTATCAGTGACCTTTTTTACATGGACTACAGATACAAACACTACATGCAGACGGCCTCTTCACGAACCCCGAGCCGCGTCATGGAAAAGCAACATCAAAGAAAGGTGGTGGATAGAGGGCAAGCAGACAAGGGGGTCTAGCTACTGCCAAAATGGGATTCAACACAGCTGGATATTGCTAAACAAGCAACTAGTAGCAGCCAATGGCTCACCCAACTCGTCCCACGCGATAAAGCTCAAGCCTGGGCCCAGTCTCTTCCAGCAGCTGTCGCGTGCTCTACTCCACATCTCGGCCTCGACTGATCCGTTGGTTGCGGCAAGGGTGGGTGGTATGGGGTGTCGCCAAAGAAGACGGCGGCTTATGATGTAAGTGTGGTGTCGCGTGCCTTGCGTGAGAAGGTGAGAAAGAGAGAAACGATGGCTCACATCATAAAGCTTCGCTCCACGGCTTTTCTGTTCATTTGTCAACCTTATGAACCGCTCTTCCAGCAGCTGCCCTTGCCTTAGTCGAGCATCAATTGGGGGTCAAAGGCTTGTCAGCACGTGGGTTGCAACTGCTGTTAGCGGTCAAAAAGCACACACTAACTGTCCGAATAAACATTTCGTTCGCATTCAGCCTGTACGCATCGTCGCACTGTACAAACTCAACTACCGAACTCTTTTGAGCCATTACCCTGAACTTTGCTAGGCAATGAGACTAACTGATCGCAAACCAATTGTGGGTTCTACCTGTTCTAGCTCCATTAACCGGCTTCTTAGTCGTGCATTATCAAACATCACCATGGGAGCTGAAAGTGTATTAAATGGGCACAGTGTTGTTTTCCACTCCAAGCCTGCAGGTCCCACGAAGTCATTACGAGCTCGGGGTAAGCAGCGTATCCAAGTGGTGGATTACAATCTTTCCTTGGATACATGCTGATAAGAGTCAAACTGTCAAAAGAAAAGACTTTCCTTTCGCGAAAAATCCTAATCCTTCAGTGCGTGCGTATAGGTCTCGGTAAGCTTGTTCGACGCAAACTCCTAGCTACGTATCCGGATTGCTCGGAAATTGATAGTTACCTATTACTCAACATCCACCCGTTAGTGTTGAGTGCTGTTGATAGAGGAGAGGTGATACTCGGACGGCGAACCTATTCCGTTCGGCGCCTGTCGAGTTCCGAAATCCGTGGTTTCCACTCACAACTTACCGTCGAATGGAACGAGCACGTGCTCAGGCTTTGATTGCGCGACGCCTGCCTGGCTTGTGGTTCCTTTCTTTCCTCGGAAGCTGAACTCCTAGAGGCGACAATGAATGTCGTCACAGTTACTAAAACTGGCCGAGCGATGCTGTTTGCGTGGTGGCAATCCTACACTCACTTGCTGCAATTAACCTTGACAAATGACGATGCTAATGACGAGACATATTGTTTGCTTTGTTATTTTATCTGGCTTGCCGAGGTAGAATTTCAATTCAGTAAAAACAGAGTCCGACTCGCGCAAAGAAGCCCTGCACCACGTAATTGCGCAGATGATCAAGACACAGCGTTGAGTACTGACAAGTGCTCAGACTCTGCACAGTAATCCTTTCATCCGTTTGTATATCTGTTGGTGCTCTGTCTCTGTGAGAGCCTATTCTGAATGCGACACCATGGAATATACCTATTCCCTCAATAATATGTCCGGAAAGCTCAAGGACATGTCTGATATTCTTTCCGAACATGCCGCCTCGCTTTCGCCGTCATAGTCTAGGCACGATTCCAAACCGTCTACCCAGCACAACTATCGTCCTTTAAACTATATTCTCACAACGGATGAGCTCTCTTGATAGGATATACAGAGAAAAATGCTTCTTTTCTTCATTTACAAGCTCGCCGCAGCGCAATTGTCATCGTCAAGCTAGCCCGATGCGTCGATTTTGCTGCTGCTCAGCCTCGATGGATTTCGATTACCGAAAGTAGCGGCCGAACGATCAACGAGGTCGATCTAAAAATCCTACGCTAAAAGATGAACCGCTCACTTACCCCGGACTTTCTTCATCTTCAGCTTCATATCATCGCAATCTCTCGCCTGATTCTTCACAAACGTTCTATTGAGTGGGTAGCAGCACTGATACCCTGCTCCACTGATGATAGAGATACGCGATGTCACCGTCGTGCCCATAAGGCTGGATTAAATAAAGAGCCATGGCATGTGACGACATGTTACGAGACTGATCATATGCATTCAATATGCTGCAACAAGGGTCTAGGTGCAGAAGAGCAATGCGGCAGACGTCTCCAGTCAGAACAACAGATCGCCATCTTTCTGCTCAAATGACTTTATACGTGTAAAAGCCCGTCTTGGGGTCGGCGTCGATATATTCCCCATCCCTTAAAGCCTCGCTGCCCTTTTCCCTCACGGCATCCATAAGCTTCTCGATGCCATCAAAATAAAAGAGAGTCGACCCGATGCGTCGGTACACCCCCTTTTCACTTGCCACGTCTTTGGCGAGCTCTAACAAAATGGCAAATCCAGACCCATACTTGCTCTCTCCCTCGCAATCCGCAATCATGAAATACATCTCCCGGTCATCCGCCCACTCCTCTAGCTTGCCCTTCCACGAGTCAAGCGAGAAGGCCTGTCCACTATGCTCCCATGCTTCCGAACCGTCACTACGCAGGACCTTGAAGCTGCGGTAAAATGCGTTTTGCTTGTGGTCTTTGGGCTTCTTGGCCACGCGAATCCGAAAGATTGGGCCGTGCAGGATGATATAGCCGCTCTTGACTGGTCCGAATGGCCCGCCTTCTGTTACTACCTTTGCATCCACCAGTCGAGGCATGCCTTTGACCTGCTCCTCTCGCGTCTCTTTGAGCGACTTGCCGTCGTGATAACGGACCAGTCCGTCTATAGATGCCCATGACCACGAGGGAATCACATATTCTGCGTCTTCGGATCCCGGCGTGCTGAAGTGGCGTTCGGCGTTTTCTCCTATGCTCCAATGAAGTCCGAATGGCAGGTAACTTCGCCATGCACCGGCGATATATTCGTTAGGTTTGTCCACAGGCAGATTGTTCACTTGGCCGAACAACTGGGCCACTGCTCCAAACGCAACAAGCTTGTCCTTACGCTTCGTAAGAGCACGTTGGTTGTACTGGGACGTGAGATAGTCCCAGACCCAAATGTCTGGGGTACTGGTCAACTTCCGCCTTTCCTTATTGAAAAACGAAACCTTGTCTGGCCAGGTGATGCTGCCAGGGCCACTGTACCACATAATCTGCTTAGTCGACGTTTCACGACTAATGCCATCAGTGATGCCATTCCACCACCATTCGCCGTCCGTACAGTGCAGCACACGAGGAGCCAAAGCGTACTCCTGATATGTCCACCCGCGGCGGTTGAGAGGAGCCGATACAATGGTGTTTTTGAATTCTTCATACCACGGGTTGGTGATGCGGAGCGTCTGGCCGGGCTGCAGCCCCCATTCCTGGATGAAACCCTTCCAGGACGGGCGGACAATGACGGTCCGAGGCCGAGGACTGGGCGATAGCCCCGTCCTGGGGTTTTTGGAAGCCGAAGCTGCGATTGTGAGATGGGAAAAGGCGTATACGGAAGCCATGCGCTGTGCTTCGTGGAGCCAGTCGGATGCAGAGTCTTGGATGATGCATAGAGAGTCGATCCAGAGGTATTTAACGCCCAATTCAAGAGCCAATTCTGCGGATTGGCGAAACGTGGCGGGTAGGTCCTTGAACTCAATCCCATTGGTGAACTCGGACAACCTTGAGGCGATGAGCTGGATGGGCATGGTGTTTCCCCAGCTATGAGAAAGGGCGATATACGGCGTATCAACATCCAACGAGGTGTTTGCTCCATCGATGAGTCGCGCCACTGGCTCGGGTGAATCCTTTGTCAGGTGAAGGAGTCTGGTTGGGAGCTCTCTTACAAGACTCTTTGGGAGAATCTCGGCAAAGTCTTTTGTCTCGTCGAGGAACTTGTTGACTCGTTCTAAAGTGCTGCCCAGATCCATCCAGTCAATGTAATGCTTGTTCTCCTGAACAGACAGATCTGCATTGCTCTCTCTCCATCAGCAAAGGATCTCTCTCTCAACTCTTAAAGAGGAAGAAAAAAACTCACCATGCATATCCAGCGTCACATCCTTCACATTCCCCTCCCGCTCGCCCACCTTTGGATTCACATCCATGTTCCGATTTGCCGCCCAATCCTTATAAACATGATACCTAAACACCAACCGGCTCGTCTTACCCTTCTCAGTATAAATAAACACATACCCCTTCGCCTTTGCAATCTCCTCCGCGCTCCACGCCGCCACGCCATACGGCTTCCGCCCTTCCATGTAATCGACACGGCCATTGTCCCGCGGATGCAGCGCATCAAACGCCATCACCACCGTCTTGCACAGCGCGCACGAGTCGCCCGAACTGCGCAGCTCCTCGACCGAATGGTGCGGATACGAGAGCGTCGGCGGAGCGGCGTTGCGGTTGATGTACGGTTCCATGCCGTGGTCGTAGGCCGTTCCGAAGGCTGGCTCCGGGTGGAAGGGGTCGGGCGGCGCGCCGGGGGTTTTGAGTTCTCGTTTCCAGCCGCTGAGCTGAGGGCGCCAGGTGCCGGTGAAGATGCCGGTGCAGACATTGCAGAGGGTGGATGATGGGATCGACTCTAATTCTATCATTGTCTTTCTTTGTTTCTGAAGAGAAAGGTAAACTATGGTTGAAGCAAGAGGGGGACTACCAAGAAGCGCAGTTATTTCTACAAATGCTCAGTCCTACAAGTACACATACATGCATCTGCTATCACTTTTTAAACAAGTCAGTCTGTAGGACTTTGCTATCAAAACACAGTCATCGCCTCGTTTAGCGCCGCAACATAACCCAGGGCCATAGTTTAAAAGTCTGACAAGAAGATCAAAATGGGCGGCACAGACGAATGAATGTTCAAGAGGCAAGCTAAAAATATGCATAGCCGGGTAGTCAAACTCCGCACAATCCTTCGTTTCTGATAGATGTGCTAAATAGTAGCTGGTGGGCTAATTATAGAATACTTGCATGGTTGCTGCGGAATATATGAGTAAACATATATTGTTAACGTTGCAGTCATATGACGTTTAATACTAGGGTATGGATTGTATCAAGTGTAAGTGCTTGGCTCACAACGAGTCTATATCTTAAGCTTGGTCAGACAAGCCGATTGTATTAATCCAGCTAGGATAAAGACAACTAGATTGTAACCATCCACCAACAATAAACCAATTCTAGGTTTAGTCCAACACCACAAACCCAATTAGCCAAGGAAGGCCTTATCAAGTCTTCAAACCAGCTCCCTGCTTTCAAGCCAAGTCTTTCCCAGTACTATCTAAAAACGCACCTTTCCATGCATACCGTGCATACCATTACTCCTCATCCAATACCATAAAACAATATTTCCCTTTTTTCCATATTCCAAAAACGCCAAGTCATGGGATACACTGTTGCTCAACTCTTCACCCCTGCATCGTACATTTCATCTTCTTCTGCTATCCTTCCAAGGATGAGGCTTTGAACAATGAGCTCATCACATAGCACACGGACATTTCTCGCTGCTGACAATCCCTGAGATCTCCGCCGTTTCTTGCCGGTTAATTCTGGCTTCGCAAGCACCGATTCAACCGTGCCTATAGATTCGTCCATATATATCCAAGTAAATGGCTCACCCGCTTTATCTTGCGCATCTAGCATTTCGCGAGCCTGCTGTATCGTCGAGACCCAAGATATGGAGGGCCCAAGAGCCTGAGCGAGGAAAAGGTACGGTTGCTTCTCCAAGTCGCTCTTTTTCCTCTTCCCTTCGCTCCGGGCCCTTTTGTCATCCACGACAGCGAGTAATTTTTCGGCCGCAAGCAACTTTGGCCGCTTGTCAAGTACTTCTGCGAGTCTTGCATTTTCAGCATCGTATGGGCGTAAGCATCTTGACCTTATTGCATTTCCCAGAATGGCAGACGATCCTGCCGCAAGAAGATAGGGTTCCCAGTCAATCAAAATTCCTTTGTTGAGACACATTACTACCCATTGATATGCCAGACAGGGCAGTCCTAAAGCCAATGCTTGCATGTACTTGACTTTGCGGGAATGTGTGTCTGCAATCAGCACGGTGAATCCATAGTTTGAACAAGAACTGGATAAGCCAAGAGTTTCTCCGTCATCAGCACTTGGAACATTAGAGGTGCTCATTATCGTAGAAGGCTCAAACAACTCTTCAAAGCCTGATTCCAGGATGAGACCACCGGCTTGCTTAATCTTTGCCTCTATACTAGCACGAGTCTTTTCATTCTTCTTGTCAAGCGACATGGATATTGCAAAAGCCATGCCCTCAAACATTCTTCGTCCACGAAAAGTAGATCCGATGCTTTGTTTGAAGATTCTACTCGATCTCAGCGAAGAAACTCCTGACTCAAGAACACTGCTAGACGGCGACTGCTGCAGCTCATCAGTAGAACTTGGCTCATTTAGGACAGACCGGATACTCGTTCTTAAAGCTTTGGCAGCTTGCTGTGGAATCCTGTCCTTTGATGCCCTTTCCGAGTTTCTAGATCTCATCTTTCGGCCCTGCGCAGGAGATGACGAAGTAGTGGCCTTGGCTTCCGGCTGGTCAGATACCGGGGAAGATGGTGTATTTGGTGTAGTCTTCTCTGATGCCACTGGCGTTGATAGAGTTGTGAAACTAGATGATGTATGAGCCTTTCGATCAGGCATACGAGGTCGCACGGGTGTGAGAGGCGCTTTGTTATCGCGTCTCAAAGTCCGAATTGCTGTCGGTATTACAGTTGCAGAGTCCGTCTTTGACACTCTGGGTTCAGGATTTTCTGTCTCCGTCGTTTCAGTCCTAGCAGGCACAACAGTTGCGTTACTGGAACTCGGTAAGGCGCTCTTATGCGCCTGGATATCTGGTTCGGTCGACGCCCTCTCATTTGTCTCCGACGAAGTAATGATCTTGCTTCGGCGATTGCTTTGTGCTCGCCTTCCATATGATCTCTGCGCCTGCCGACGTAGTGGAGGAAGTGAAGACGACTGCACATCAGCTTCGGGGTCATTTTCTGCAAATTCATCTTGAGCTAATACGGGAAGCTCAGGTTCAGGCTCAGAAGCTGCCGGCGCATCGTGCCGAGCTCCCGATGGAAATGATCTGACGGGACTAGTAGCAGGTATCATTTCCTCAGAGACGTCTTCCTTGCTTCTTCCTAGTTTAGTAGTTGAAGCTCTTTTGCGATTATCTTTTGATGGTGCAGCCGCATCATCTCGAGGCGTTGCTTTTGTCGATTCAGTCAACAATCTCTGCCCTGGCAAACTTGACCCTTTCTCAGAACTGCGTGATCCACCATCTGTGCTGGGAAGTTCCATTTTTTCTACGCTTTGCTCGTGGCTGGGAAGCGACCCTTCGTCAATACTTGAAGATAGCTTTCTTCGCTTTCGGTTCCGACTGTCGCCCGTGTCTCGTCGCGGGGGTATTTGCACCGTCACCTTCTCCATCTCCTCCGCCGTCTGCAACCGTATCTTATTCATCCTTTTCTTGCGCCTCATTCGTATGATTGCATCGTCCGAGTCGCTGTCGATACCCAATTGCAGCGGGGGCATATGCACTGCTGCTTTACGCTCTTGAGATTTCTTCATCGGTTCGTAGTGCGCCAGAGGCTGTCGGTTTTCGTGGCGTTTCGACGGCTGGACGGTCGGTGACTCGGGAATCATGTCATCTCGAAGCTCTCTGCTTTTAGCTAGGGATTCTTCTTGGATTGGAGACACTTTGGGTTTGTGTGTGCTTGCCGGAATGTTGTTTATTCGACTAGGGCTTGACGTATGCATAACGGTCGGTGAAGAGACATTTGCGCGTGCTTTTAGCGGAGATGTGCCCATAACATTCAGGGACATCGTATCGGGCAACATGGCTGGAGACGGTCGAGACGATGTAGGGCTATGGAGCTTCATAGCTGAGGGCAACGCAGGCGTTTGCTCAAAGAGCTGTGTGCCTGCAAAAGGAACACCTCCGTTCGCATCGTTCTGAATAGCAAAAGGATTCTTAGGCGGTACTGGCGTTTCTGGCGGAAGGTCGCGGGGCTTGAAGGGAGTATGACCACTGCTAGGTCGGTGCTGTGAGGTCCCAGCCGGCGCCCTCCATTCGCCGCGAGTATTTTCAAAGCCTGCATCTTCAGAAACCTGGGATGATGGACGAGCGGCACCAGGGCTCAGGTTTCCAAAGTTGACTGCGCCGGTATCATCAACATGCAGCGTGTCGGGCAGAGAGCTGGACTCTACCGGCTGGTAGAATTGGTCATAGTCTCGTTCCACATTGACCTGCGTGGGTGTCTGCTGCGAGACGTCCATAGCGCCTCCCATCTGTGGCCTGCCAGCGCCAATTGGCATGGTAGGGATGCTGTCGCCGTGGCTCTGATTCGTGTTATCGCGATTGCGTAGAGGGGACGAGGAACGTGCGTTTCGGTCAACCGGGCTGCTCTCAGCTACGACAGCATCGTCCAGGTCCTGTTCGCGGACCCTTGGCCGTGCTGGTGGTTGGTGAGTCTGGGGTGCTTCGCGTCCCACTCTGTGAAATTCGGCGGTCGGATTACTCGCATTACTGTGGCGTGGCGTGTTGATGGATTGCTTCTTTTTTCCCAATTCAGTCAGCTTCCGCGTATCGCTCTTCACAGGGCACAGCAACAGCAAAGCAAAGGACAATACCAACCTTGAAGGTGTGATCCTGCCAGCGCACGCTTCGCCTCGCCGAGCTTGAAATGTCCAAATCGCCCACCTCGGCTCCGTTGTCGCTGTGCCGCTCTTCACACTCGTCTGCGCCTCTTCCCGCACTCACATCCACATTCTCGCAGGCTGTCCCGAGCTGTGGCGGCGATTCAAGGGTTCCGTGAAGCTGGTTGGTCAGCGTGAGATGCAGGTTCATGGACCCTGGCCAGTCGGGTACGTACCGCTGCAGCTCCGAACTCAGCTTTCAGAGCGTCGAGAATGGCCTGGCTGTCCTGCGATTCGACGCCTTCGTCCAGCGCCAATTGCTCGGCTCGCATGAGCGGCCGTGGTCGTGACATTATGAGGGCATTTTCTTGGTGTTTGTTTTTGTTTGAGATTTTGAACAAGAGGGAAACTAATTGGGAAGCTTGAGTTCGTGAAGGGCTGGCGGGGCGCCTGGCGAGGAACCAAGTACAAGTGACTTCACGCCTAGTAGCATCTCGACTCACTGCTGCCTTGAGCGCCACATCAACGCGCTATCACGTGCGCCGTTACTCACTTCAAATTCTCGAACTGAGACTGAACTTTGTATAAGAAGTATCGTTGCACATGGGGCAAGGCGCCGTGGAGAAGGCTCGCTAGGTAAATATGATCAAGGAGGGCTGTGTTGGTTCAAAGATCCGCTTCGTAGTATTAATCTCTAATAATCCGCTATGCAAAATATTGCTCTCAATATCCCGGCACATAATCTACCTATATAAACCATACAACAAAACAAAACAGGGTATACATCTAACCATATATCCTCCCATCTCCCATTATATATCACGAAAACTCATCGTCATCATCATCCCCCCAGCCCCCGCCCGAATAATCCACCGGCGACTTGCCCGCCCATCTATTCTGCGAAGCCGGCACAGTTGCCTGCTGCGCAACCTCCGTTGGACTCGCAACAGGCCTTTTCGAAGATGAAGCCCCCGAGAAGAGCGGAGCAGGCGTCATGCCACTAGGAAACTGCCCTCCGCCTGCCATGCTGTTTGCATTGACGTTGAGTGGCGCTGGGGCGAAATATTGACCCGTTGGCTGTCCACCTTGGAAACCTGCAGGGAATTGCTGGCCGCCAGACGGCACCTGAAACGGCTGATTTGGTCCAGGCATTGCTTGTGGAATAGGCACTGGGGGAAAAGTATGCTGCGGCTGCTGAGCCACTGGGCTCTGGGCTGCCGACTTGGACCCGCTGCTCTTGAACCACTTTCCCCACGATTTTCTGTTTTCCTTGTTGCCAGCTGTAGGTGATGTCGGCTGAGCCGTTTGCAGCGGTGGCAATGGACCTGGCTGAGCAGCCCATTGCTGCTGCAGTGGCTGCTGCATAGGTGGACCAACTGGTTGAAATCCTTGCATAGGCGTTCCTGGACCCGGAATTTGACCAGGAGGCCCCATGACTTGCTGCGGCGGGATACCTTGTATCTGGGCATTCATTTGCTGAGGTATCTGTGCCTGAGTCTGCAAAGGGCCCGGGAGCGGAACCTGCTGTGAGCCACGTTGATTCAGAGAAGAAGCTGGCGTCGTCGAATTAGGAGGCGCCTTTGTTAGAACCTTGCGCTGGTTCACCTTCAACGGGGCCACTGCCGCCGCTGCATGTTGCGCCTCGTCATGCTCCTCAATACTAGTCAGGAGGTGGCCAGAAATCGTGGGTCCCATGCGCGTGGGAGACTGCGGTACTGCATCAGAGACAGTTCCTGGGCTTGGTTGCTGCACCTGAGACTGAGGCTGGGGAGGTAGCATCCCTTGCGTATTCCCCTGACTCACATTCGCGAGCTGTTGTGGCGGCGCTGATTGTCTACCGCCTGGAGCTACGGGAGACTGCGGCAGATCTTGAGGTGGTCTCGCCAAAGATACAGTCGAAGGAGGAACTGAAGCTGAACCCTGAGAACCAGATATAGACGCAAAGTAAGAATTATTGACATTCGCATTCGGCGACGCAATGGAATTCGTAGAGCTTCTTCGAGAGTCAATCGGCGATGGCGTATCCAGGGGAGCAGCTCCAGACGACATGCTCTGAGACCGAGATCGTATAGGGGATACATCTTCTTGAGTCGGACGTCGCTGAATAGGCCGCGGCTGCGGAGGTGGTGTCTGATAGCTCGCAAAACTAGCATAAACACCCGGATTAACGACGCTTTGCGGTCTTTGCGGCTGTTGGCTCTGTACGGGGATGGCATTCTGTCCTGGCTGAATCGACTGTCGACGCTGCTGTGCTGGTCCAGCTGTAGCCGAGCGTGGTGCTGTCCCAGCTGGCACAATCACAGCTCCAGGAGGCACGGGGCCTGTCCTGATTGGCATCTGCTGTGGCTGGCCTGGAGCTGGTCCCCGTAGTTGGTTTTGAAGAACGGGCATGGCGCTTGCTGGTCGCATTGGCTGCTGGGTCTGGAGCGGGCCGTAAGGAGTTATCGCTGGTGGTCCATCGTCCTGCGGATATGGCGCCGTCGAGTGGCGAATAAGTGGTGGCTGTGGCATCCTGACTGATCCTGTTGGATAGGGGAGTTGCTGGGCTGGAACCTTGGGTGGTAGAGGAGGGACGGCATATTGTTGCGCTATCTGTACATTTGACTGTGGAAAGTCTGGAACTGTCGTGTGTGACCTTTGTACAGGGGCCGGGGGCTGAGCAGTTGCAATTGGAGGTTGCTGAGGGGGGTTTTGCTGGACAGCAGCTGGAGCTGGAATTGGAGCGGGAGCTGGAGTCATAGAAGGCGGATGTTGCCCATGCCGAATCAAATTATATCCCGATAAGCGAGCATCCCTCCCAGCAGACTCCGCACTCGAACTTGCAACGGATCCTTGCTCCGATCCCTTCACAACATCTTGCCTCTCAGGTGACTGTCCCGGTTTCCCACGCGCAGGTCGAAGCACAGAAGGATACTTGACCACCCCCGGTCCAGAATCCACTGGTGGTTTGGACGCAGTGGTGGCCGGCCTCATGCTCATATTCAGCGACGCCTCCCGCTGCAGCGCCGGGCTCATTATCCGCGCTGGCAAAGCGCTCGTTTGTGGAGCTTGGCCTGGCACATAGGCTTGGTAGTCCTCCTGTGTTTGTGCCTGTGTCTGTCCCTGATTTCTGCCAGCATAGGCGTTGTAAACGGCGCTTGACTCTCGAAGCGTCGGTTTCCTGGCAATCTTGAACGGCTGTGGGGCGCCATTGTCTTGATCTTGGGATGGGCTATACCCTTCGTTCGACTGCTGCTGTTCCATCTCCAATTCCTTCTGCAATTCCTCCGCCTCTCGCTTCTTCCGCTCCTCCTTTCTCTGCTGGACATCTCGCTGCCGCTCCTCCTGATACAGTCTCACTTCCTGCCGTCTCAGCTCCAGACGCTGCTGATCCGTCAATCTCTCCTCTCTCACATTATCATCCTCGCGCAGATCAATATCGGCCGGTAGTTCCACAAACCCAGGCCGCGGCTCTATCTCAACCGGCGCCATGATATAGGTGCCCGCCAGCTCAACCGGATCCGGGTGCGTCTCCACGCGGGCCGATGCCGTGTGCTCTGTCGGCATCTCAGCTACCACGCCCACGGGATCAAACTGCAGGTGCAAAGGCACGGCGGTTTCTACCGGGAGCTCGTACATCTCGTAATTCAGTGCTTCTTCGTCAGGCACTGCGCTCGCTTCTCCCACGATGTCGTCTCCCATGATGTAGCCCCCAATGGGAGTCACCATTGCCGGCTCCTCGTACGACATTATAGGCGGCGGCGGCTCGAAAGCCCTCTCATTCATAGTCGTAGATTCATCATCTCGCGCCCCAGTCTCCGTCCGAGCAACAGTCTCGCTTGTCCGCACCATCGGCGTCGTGTTCTGGCTCACCATAGGACTTACTCCCCTATTGCTGTCCGTCGGCAGTCCACCTCTTTGTTCAGCTCCCACCACGGCCCTCCTCGCCGCCTCCTCCTCCTCTTCAACCAATGGGCTTACATCCACATACGTCCCCGGGCCGAGATACATGAAATTCTCCGGCTGAAACACCGCCTCGCCCTCCACCTCGGTATCGTTGTCATTCTCGTCCTCGGCGCCGAAATCGTCCTCCCATACCGAACTCACAGGCTGCGCCGTCGCCGACATGCGCGATTTCCACCCATCTTTATCCTCCGCCGCTGCTCGCCCTGTCCGGCTCGGGCCTCCGGTGACGCTCGTGTGCCGCTTCACCTGCTGCTGCGACTCCAGCTTCTCTTCGGGCGCGAGGTCCGGCGCCGGCGACGCAGCGTCGATGAAGTCGGGGAACTCGTCGCCCGCGCTGGGGAAGTGGTACTGCACATGGCCGGTGGGTGTGTAGCGGTACAGCCACCGATTGCCGTCGTAATCCCATTCCCAGCCGGGTGGGAGAGTGGCCATGGTGGGATTGCCCGCTGCCCTGCCGCTGTATCTTGCTCCCTTGTGTTGTTCAATTCAGCGCCAGATTGGTCGAAAGGCCGCTTCCACCAGTTCGTACCATAAGCTGAACAAATGTGTAGATTATTATTTCAGTAACAGTCTCAATTAGAGGCGTTTTCGAGCAGCGTCGGGTCGGAATCGAATTGCCTCGTTCAGCCGCACCGTTGTCGCATCGCCGCGGGAGAGAGTCGTCCGCAATCTTGCATGGAGAAAGAAAAAAACGCTATGCTTGCCAGCGCAAAAAAGAAAGGAGCTCAAAATAAACAAAGTAGCTTTCCAAAAAGGGATCAATGCTGCTTCAAAAATGATTCAAACACAAGAAACCACAAAAGCAAGGGCCATGCTATGCATTAGATCAAGGTAAAAAAGGGAACAGAAGCTGACAGCTGACAGCTGAAACCGCAGCATATGAGATGCCAGGCTGGTTTGCTTCTAATAATATCCCAGCCCCGGTGCGGCTGGGGCGACATTGGCTGGGATGCGGGGGTCACTATCGACAGGCACTATCGAAGACCATTAGAGACGCCTCGTTGGTCGGGCTTTTGGGCTACACGGATTTGGGCTCTCTAGTCCTTTCTTGGTCAGCTACAAGAAGCGCACCTTTGTTTTTGTATAAAATCAATCTACAAAGCACAAACAAACTGTATGTGAATGCCCTGGATCTGTACGCAATTCGCCATGCTCGTGTAAGTCATTGACATGGGTCGTCGTACAAGTGTTAAAAATAAACTACCTGGGCATCTATTAAACGCATCGCACCACTCTCTCAACATCTTCATTTCATTCAACGCCTTCATTACAATAGCCTTCAAAGGTAATCCCTTTTTGACAGGACATTTATCCTTTATTGTGTGCTCTAATGCATACCATCTTAATCATTACATGAATATGGCATATGTATTTCGCTGCCTCCCTTGGCTCGTCTTATCCTGCGAGC